TGTGTCTAAATAACTCTGGGTTACTGCAGTGTATTCTTGGGTTTGAAAATGGCAGGATGGTTGGGAAAAAATCACAGTTGTTTGGGAATCCTTGGACATGTCTTTAAACTTATTTGGGAGTCCTGGAGGCACCAGGATCAGTCCTCTCACTTTCTGCAAAGTTTTGATGCTTATTGCTGGTCTCTTCCTCTTCTCTTTAAAATGGCTGATGTGAGAACAGGTCTTTTAGAAGGTGCAGTTCCTTCCCATGTTGTCCCGGTTTTGGTTTTTTGTCACTGCTTTCTGGAATTTTGTTTTTGCAGTAAAAAAGGAGGCAAGCAAGCCTAGAAATCAAAGTTTGTGATAATATACAAAGAGAGCCCACAACATCCAGCAGCATTCTTCATTACAGATTCCTCAAATAATTTAATTCTTAGTGAAGATGAACAGCTTTCCTCTCTAATTCAGTAGTTTGCTAATTCTTAATACTTCAGTGTCATTACATCTTTCTGTAAGGGTAAGCTGTTGTAGCTGATTTCAACACAACCAATGAAAATAGCAACGTGATTCAGCAGATGTTTGCTTTACTAGGGTTTAGTGCTTGGCAGTCACTGCCATCAGCTGATTTGAGATGTCCTCCTTACACATGGCTTTCGTGGTTTTCCTCTCCACTCTTAAGTCAGTACATGCTCAAGTGGGGCAGTTGCTGGAGACAGATAGGTATCTTATAAGCCCTGTAAGGTGCAGATGATAGTAGTTGAATGCTCTGTTTCTTATTACAGAAAGGCCAGGAAAAGAAGGTCGATGGGCATATACAGAAGAGAAAGTACCAAAATGTAGAAAACCTTCCTTGCCACTTAGTAGACCATGTCCTGAAAGTGTTGCTGCATACAGAGGCAGTAAGGTAGCTGAGGTGGTGGAAATGAGTGTTGTAATTGGTGATGCAGACTCACCAGAGCTTCTGCAGCAGCAGAGCAGCGATACTATGGAGACCGCAGAGTGCTACAGCACCATGCTAGAGATTGAGCCGTGTGACAGTTTTAGTGTTTCGTGGGCTGTTTAGTCCTTCATTGGACTGACAGGAATTCAGTGCTCTCATTCACTCCAGGAAACAATAAAAAAAAGAACTTAAAGAACTTGCTTCAATTTTTTGAGACTTACTAAGCCAAGGAAAAAGAGGTGACTTGATGAAAGAGTAGTAGTATCTGGTGAAAAGGGGACAGGAAAGAAGTCACTTTACTAGTTAACAGGTTTTATGTAGATGCAAAATTACTAAGTACCAGAATTTTTCAACTATTCTGAAATTTGGCTATTACCTTAAGACTCCTGCCAGTTTTCAAAGCAAAACAATGTATTACAATTATTTTGTCAACAGACCAACCTAAACACAAGGGACGAAAGACACCACTTCTACCATGTTTACGTATCAAATGCCATTGCTGCTTCCTGATTTAAGGCAGGAGTTCAGAAACTGCACGGAAGTACAGAAGAGAGGGATAAGTGAGTCACCCCTAACAGACCAGTGAAGAGAAGCCATTTGTTTTACAGATGAACTAACACAAATTTTGCTGAATAACACTTGGCTTCTTGTAAAGAAAACAATACCAAACAATTGAAAATATGTAAACAAGCCTGGCTCTAGGCACTTTTACCAAGTTAAAACAGAGAACACAAAACCAGTAGCAACAATAACACGTACCCTGAGTTCACTGCACAACACACTTCTATCTGCATTTATTTGAATGGATATGATAATCCTTAAGCTGTTCAGTGCCTAACTGACCCCCTCCAAAAAAATAGGGGAGTTTTCTAGAGGGCCAATAAGGTTGTTTAATCTTATTTATCTATTTACTCTTATTAAATGTTGTCAATGTTGCAAATGCCAGGTCACATTGTTCATTTAACATACCCCATTTCCACCTCTAGCTGGCCGTGGTAATGTGTGCCCACAGGGGAGGAGGAACTTGCTCTTCCTAGCAGCCCAGTGCAGGGTGAGGGGCAGCAGCCTTGTCCGCTGCTCTCAGAGGGTTCTGGCAGTTCGTGGCTGGATGGAGGCAGAGGCTTTGTCGTAGTACTTATTGCAGTTCTTACTGTCCGGCAGTAGGGATCAACCATCATGCCAGCTCTGAACCTCTTACACTAGTGGTATTAACTTAGCAGCACCTTGCATTAATTTTAGTTATTTGGTCACAGTCCCAGTCTCAGCCTCTTTTAAAGACTGCTAAATATTTCTGTTTCATCAGAGTGATAGGACAGAGGAAATGATTGAAAATGCCATTTAGGATTGAAGCTGAGTGGAGCAAAGCAAGTCAGAACATAGACTCAGACATCCAGCAGATGAGAGACTTAATAACAACAAAAAGGATTGGGGGTCTTAATGAAAGTTGTAGTATCATCATAGAGGATTTTGTACTCCAGGCTTCTCAGTCTCATTCACAACTACTAGCCACTCCTCCTAGTTGCGCTGAACAAACTCCTCCCAAGCGGACAAGATACTTTTCTTGAAGCTTATTTAACTGAGAGTGACTTTAAAATTTTATCACTATGGAATGGTCATCACAGATATGATTATCAGCATTAAAAGGCCAATCTTTAGCAATAGTTTTAACTCCAAAGATTTTAAAATTCCATAGTATTTTTCATACTTAGAAAACATAATATTTTTCTCACCTATTCTTTTCTACTGACTTTTGGAATAAATAGTATCACACCAGTTTAAATGCAATAGGTATGACATTTAACTAATGTGTTATCAGGTATACTTGGTGCAGAGATACTCCGTTTCAAAGCTACATCCATCAGATGTGCATAGACCTGAGTTAGAGTTTGGCTGTGCTTAAACAGCCAAAACAGACGTGCTTGAGATCGTCTCAAGATTAGTCATAGAAATAAGAGACCAGCATGACAGAAGTTAAGAACAGGCCATCAGCATTGTTCTGATTAAACTGTTAATCTTCATTTGCCAGTTTAAGTTTGGTAGGGAGTGAAGGAAAGCAATTTTAAGTTTAGATATTCAGCTTTATGAACTAAAAAATAATAGTGGCTTTTGCCTATATGAATATTCTGAGAGTTCTGTAATGAGAATAAAGTGGTCAGCCACTCAGTTACACCAAGACAAATCTGAATACTGGTTAGAATTGTCCTAAAACATCATTCTGTCAGAAAAATACTGTATGTTCTTACCAGCTTTCAGGTTAAAAAACCCACCTTTTGTAGTGTGAACTGAGTTAATATTATAGTTTTATATGTGATTATAGTTCAGCTTTGCTTTCCTCAACTTACTGATGCATCTGAACAGCATCTGAAATACTTCATCTTGGAATTTCCATGGCTTTTGTATAACATTCAGGATAAATGCTTGAAGCTCTCCCATATGGAGGCAAATATGACACGTAAATCAGTTTCTTGGGACAAAAGCCTTAGGTAAGTAGATTTATACTGTGAGTGACAGGTGCTGTAATTAACATATCTAGATTGAACATCAGATTTTCTTCAAGTTGCATATACATATTTCTTAATGTCTTTAGCCCAACCACTTCTTTGTAAGAGCTGCATTGAAGTCTGTAGAAAAAGAGTACCTGTCCAAGTTTGAGAAGATTTGGAATCCAAAACAAGCAGGTCTCTAAAGTTTGTTAGAAAAAAAAAAGGCTTAACAATATAGAAATTGCTCAAATTTGAAAGTTCTTGATTTTTCAAAAGTATGCCAGAAAGTAGAATAACTGACAAAAAAAAGGAAATTATTTAATTATTACATGCTTCTATATATCAGTTCAGATTTGGAGGTGTTCCTTTCCATCCTGTTTCACAGGCCACATTGTACTTCAGGGGGAACTTCCTTTGGAAGTTCAGAAAAGTGAGGTGACAGAGATGCCAAATACTGACTGTGGTAGAAATGTGATTACAGACTGGACTATCTTTCAGTTGTCATATGCAATCAGTTTTGGTCACTCACAAGCAGAGTTTCTGGGAGCTGCCAGTTAAATTCAATAAATATCTCAGTGCTTGGTTCCCTTAATACAGTGTGCACATCCAAGTTAGAAACTTTATGCAATATCATGCAGCTATTTTGTGCAGGTGTCATTCAAACTGCAATGCTTTCACTTTTTATAGTGAAAGTGTTTTGTATCTTCTAAAATCTGTATTTACAAAACAGAGATTCTAATAGCAAGAGAGATGAAGATGGTGCAGTTATTTTTTATCAGACTTTTCACCTTCCGTCACAAGTTTTCCATTCTCTGTTTTCTTCATCTTCTAGTTGCTTCTGGTACCACCTCTCTGTGCTGTTTTGTTCTGCCTCCTTTTACTGTGTGCCATTTCATTTGTGCTATTCTCCAAGTCTCTGCAGTAGAGCAAGGAATAGAGCCTTCCACAAACATTATTTTCTCCTGTAGCTACTGTCTCCTGAAGCACAATTTCCACTGTATTTCTTCCTTCCCATTCTGTATGTGCCACTCACCATCCAGTACTGAATTCCATGCGTGTAACCCTCTATAACTTGTTCCGGCTGAAGCTCTGTATTAGCTGACATTTTGAACTTTTCCAGGGTGATAGGCCAACTTCCTTCAGGGCTTCCCTTCAGTTCTGAGGCCTCCCCCATCCCCAGCCAGGTGCTCCTCTCCATATGCCCTTTCTGTGTTGCAGAACTGACGAGCTCTGCTCCTCCTAGTCCTGTGGTGGTTAACATCACTGCTGGAGGACGTGACTGCAGCATGGGGTCCTCCTGCTCCCGTCCTTCAGCTTACAGCGTGTCTGATAATGCTCCTTGCTCTGTACTGAGGCCAAAAAAAAAAGAGGTACAAAGTAGAGATCAAACCAGAAAGTGGACCACTATGGTTCAGTTGCAATAGTGTAATCAGGAGCAGGATCTGACCCATATTAAACACACCAGTGCACAAGTCCTCATGCAGTAATTCGATGTCCATAGTGTTCCCATGTGCAGCTCTATCAGTCACTACTCTGAAATCAAACAATTGTGGCATATCCTTCTTATCTAATTCACATATTTTGTTCCCTCTTTATAGAAGAACTTGTGAAAAATGTTGGTGAACAGGAAAAAGACCAAAGCAGAAATTCCACAGATGCACAGTTACAGGAAGAGACAACAAGGATACAAAATGAGAGTAGTCAGGGAAGCGATGGTACAACCTGTCCTCCCAGATCCATCGTCCTACAAGTAGTCTCTTTCGACACTCCTCTGAGTGATGAATCCAACTCAGAAAAATGCACTAACTCTGAATCGAACCAGAAAGATCTCACCGATGCCCAGCAAGAAACACAGAATACAGACCCACTGAATGGTAATACTTCATCACAGAGCACCACTCAATCTGATGAAGCTGTCCAGGGTGAAGCTGCAGCAGTGTCTGGTATCTCCCTGTCAAACATCGACAGTAACGTAAAATATCAAAATAAGGTGTTGTACAAACCACCAGCATAAGACAGTTCTTCAGGCATATGTAAAACCAATAGTGTCCTAAAACCATCAAATAAAAGCTTGTTGATATAAACAAATATCATATTGATATTAGCTATTCAGTATCTAGTAGAAAAGTTTTTACATAAAATACAAAGGCCTTTAGTTGAACTGGAAGAATGATTTTAAAGTGATTTACAGATGTGCATTAGCAATTAAATAGCAGTTTGTTACTGGAGAATGAGGTAGAAGTTCAAAACAGAACTTTCTAACATTTTCTCTTTGAGTAGGTAATTATGCTTATGTCATTAAAATGCAGTCCCCTTAGGTTAGGCACCTAATATGATTATTATTTTGTAAACCATATCCTTTGTACTATATGCAATGTGAATTTTAGAGTTAACTTTAAGTAGATGGAATTTGCGAACTGTAGTAGGTGTGGGATTGTGTCATTCTGTTAATCGAAAAGAAAGGTCTCCTCACTGTAGTTTGCAGGACAAGCGGAGCAGCCAGAAAATCCCTATAATGTCAGAATATTTTTTAGAATGTATTTTATCACAATCTGACTATGATTTAGTATCTGTTGACTGTAAGACAGTACCAAGGGCAAAATGCCCAAGCAATAGTAATAGGTGTTATCAAAGTAAGAGAAAGTCACTGTGCATTTTAATTTTATTTTCTGAGTTTGCTTACATTTAGAGTAAGCTTTGAGGTATTAGGGTAATAAGAATAATCAAGGCATATAATGACACTTCTTTTCCTCACTTCCAGTTAAAATGCTAAATTCATTAATGCTTTTATGACAGTGAGCCTTGCAATATTGTGCCAGAAGTATGGCATTGTCTGAGCAGCAACACTGAAGTACTTATAAGGCTTAGCTTAGACATAAGTATATGACTTGTCATATTTCTCAAAAATGCTTTTTACGGAGAACTCCCACTTATTCTAGAGTTCCACATTCCAGCACTCCATGCTTTTGTTGTTGACAGTTTTTTTCCATCAGAAATAACAGATGGTTAATTTAGCATCCTAAATCAAAATATTTACACTAAAATTAATTTCACAGCATTTGAAGTTGTCTAATAATTGACATTTTTGTCTTTTGATGTGTATTTTTTGCACCAGTTTTTTCATTAAAGCCCAACTTGAAATTTAAGTGCCTTAGAAAAATTTCCCATCTCCTGGATGAGGAACACAGTAGGAAAAGCTGCATCTTTATCTTTCAAACTATGCAAAAGGCAGTTGTGGTGTAGCTGTCCTTGGGGGTCTTTAGGTGGCTGACCAACAAAAATTCTGTTTGAGAGGTCAGATACAACTCAGCATGCAGTTAGTGCACTCTGTTGCCTTGTCAATCTTTACCTTTCCTATGAGAACAGAGATTTCTTATTTTAGAAAAAGCTGATCTCATTCATTTTCTATGGCAGGGAATTTTCTACAGAATACCTTGTATTTTAACACTTCAAACTGCAAAATTTATGAAAAGGGTAAGAAGTGATTGAGTTTGTAATAATGTATTTCCAAAGGCAAACATGATCTGGAAGCTATTTTTTTCTTGAAGATGGTAAAAAAGGTTTAATAACATGAATTCCACCAATCCAAGTATGTTCCCTCACTAGAGATGACAATATTCAAAAAGAGTTCAGATGAATAATGAAACAGAAATAGAAGTTTGATTTAATTATTTTGTGGAAATAGATAGTATTGGTAATGTCCTGAACCAAAAGCCAGAGCTCATATGAGGACATTGCTCAGCTCTTGCACCACTAAAGAGGCAGTGGTATTTAAACCAGGGACTTATAACAAGTCGTGGGGAAAGGGAAGATATAGCAGGAGACATAGCTGCACCAAGCCATTAATCACACGGTAAGAGAAACAGCAAGCAGCAAATTATTTTTAAGGGAACTCCAGAGGGTGAATGATGAGCCAATACTCCCTTATTGGGATCTCCCAGCTTGCATCTGAACCGTTGTAGGTTTTGCAGCACACATTTCAGTCACTGCTGGTTGCCATGGAATGTTTTGGTATAGAAATGTAGGTTTCTCTACCAAAACTAAACATCTGTGCCTGAAAATCTTAAACTGCTGTATAAAGATCTTTGGAAATGAAATTGAACTGAAAAGACTTTTCTCCAAACCCTCATTTACTACAAGCTGTACCTTTTCCTGTTGGCGAGAGTGTGTAAAAAGTAGAGGCTACTGCCCATGCCATTGATCGAACACATACCCAGCCATTGTAAAATTCTGTTCTGAACAGGTCTTCAGATTATTTTGAAAACTGTTCATCTGATATGGTTTGTGAACAAATGTAGTCATCAATTCTTGGTGTTGTCATGGGAAATTATCTTGTCACAGGAAATGATATTGTCAAAATGTTGTTGTCATGGGAAATTCAGAGAATTTATATGTTCCCGATTCTTTGGATCTTGCATTCTAGAATAGTGGCTTTTCACCTATTTAGACCTGTGAATCCTTAAAAATTTTCCAGTGGAAATGTGCATCCCTGGTCAGCCAGCTTAAGCCTACAGAAAGTATGTTTGCGTTTCTTTTAGTCTCATGAACCTTTCATGGATCCCTTCATAAGTAATTCGTAGTCCCTCAAGTCAGAAAACCATGAGATAAAGCTGGATTTCTGATTTACACTATCACAATTTTTTAGTAGAGTTCAACTATGCATAGAGTAAGGATATTGGTTAGGTGCGATTTTTAAAGACATCTGATATTTGAAGGCATTTTTAGTTGTCGTTTTACGTGAAACATCTGCTCACTGTGGTATGTTGAATTTAATCTCATCCATCTCCTTCAGTGATTATTTGTGTTCATTTTTCCAGCATAGATAAATACCCAGGTAAATGGAGAACTTGATAAATGTTTTGCCTGATTTCTGTAGCATATTAATGTCATAGTCCAATACTCTCTGACCAGGTTCTTTTAGATATTCCATGTATGAAGGATGTAATGTTTAATATCAAATTTACCTATTTGGCGATAGTTGATGTTACATGGGATTTCTGATTTAGCAGAGTGATACAAAATATACTGAAAGCATACTACAAACTTAAATGATACTTAGCAAAATAGAGCAATTGCAATACGCAGCTCAATCACAATGCCTACCTGAGTCCCATTACCAGTGTCTAGAAAGTGCTCACCATCACAACACTGGGTGTCCCCAGTCACCAGCTCAAGCCCATTGCTCTCTTCAAAAATCTTTTACTAGTTTTTTAGTTTTTATACTCTATATTGGGCTGAGCCGCATATTCACTCCCTCCATGCTGGCCTGACTAACTCAGGGAGACAGTCTCGCTCTTCTAATGAGCACAAGGAGAAACATCTACACCACTGGTTGATCCCTTCAACTGTGCTATAGTCAGTGGATGCACTCAGCTGACATAAGTGCTTATCTAAACCAAAGCCCACCCTCTGCTCCCCTTTGTGTTGAGACTGTCAGCTTTCATTGCAACAGCTCTGGTCAGGCACCTCTTGCACTGTCTCCTGAGCTTGATGAGCGTGTTGCCGTTGCCCATCTCCATTGAGCCTTCTTCCACTGTAGGGGTTTATTGGTCAGTCACAATATCATTTACATTCAGATTTTACATTATTAAATACTTTGATTTTTACTTTAAATTTAATAACACTTCATTCTTGCACTTTCCCTGTTTTCCCAATATTTAAATGTCATAGAAAAATATTTTGAATATTTTATGGTCTTTTGAAGCGATTTACAGAGGGACTATGTCATCATATTCTTAAAACTTTCTTTCCTAAGGACAGACCAGCTGTGTTACTATATAGTGAGAAATCTATCTATATATTATTTAAATACTATAATCTTTTAAGTCAGCACTGATGCTTTCACAGACCATTACGCTTCTAATAAACTGCAGAAGAGACCTAATATTAATTTCTCAACTATGTCATAGATGATATAAATAAATGACATATGTGGTGGGCTTTTTCTGTGCCTACCAAATAAAAAAGTATACTGCAGGTATTTACATCACTGTAATGTGCAGAGGCCGGGGCAGCAGACTTTCTGTGAACACATGGTGAGACTCCGGTCCTGGCTCTTTGAGACAAGATGAATTAATATTGGGTTTCAGCAGCAGCAATAAGTACCTCTGCAGAGATTGTACCACCATGTTAAAGATAACTGAAAAGAAAGGCAGTGCAGGCATGTAGTATTGGAATAATCTGCAATATTCAATACCAAAGGGAAAGCTCAGGCTAAAGTGTTTCATATTTTTCTTTCACAGTGGTGAAGTTATTTAAATGGAGGGACTCCATTAAACTGTCATTGGTTTTGTCTAAATGTAGACACTTAATATTAGTGTTTTTGCAAGAGTTTTCATTGCTGCAATATGTGTAGAAACCTCATAACTACAAATTGCACAGCGGTATCTGTTTTCTCTTCTCACTCACCCCTCCTTTTTCTCTGTGTAAGTGATGTTTGAGATGGTCAAGGGTGAGTGTGTTGTGTAAGATGCAGTACCACTTGGCACAGAAGGGATATATAGTGTGGGTAGCATCCCCACTTTTCACTTTTGCGCCTCAGTTGATGGCCAGGGGATGCAGATAGGACTCTTTTAACCAAGGTCATATATTTTCAATTGAATGTCACTTCAAGCAAACAGAAGGTAACATACACGTGACCTTACATTTTTTCCTTGCTTCCCAAATTAGAGTTATTTGAGTATTCTGTACAGTTATTTGAGTATACTGTACATCTATCAGGACCTTATTAGCACTCTCCATGCTAGATTTTTCTACCTCTGTACTTTCTGTACTGAGGATGGGGAGTAGAAGGCTAAAGCGATGTTCAGAGTGCTTGCTGACTCCCAGGGCAGAGAAGTAAGGACCTGTGGGCGCTGAGGCTGGGAGAAAGAGATAGAAAGTAAGAATAAATACAACATAGTTATTCAGATTGAAATTTCATGTTAGCTGTCATTGTTCTGTCCTTTATAAAAGGCAGAAAACTCAGTTCAGTTTTCTGTGAGTAAGCGATTGAATTGTAACAGAGATGGGGAACATGGGAATTTGGTCCATCTACATTCTTGGGAGCTGTCACTGAATGTTTGGATATAGTATGATGAGAGGGTTCCTCATTAAAAAAAAGGGAAAAAGAGACTGTTTTCCTCTCCTTGTTTCACCACTCTGTCTAGGTGTAGTTCTTGTAGACTATTGTATTTTACTAACAGGGTTAGCTCTGCCCTGGGTCCTGGTCAGTGCGAAGGGAGACCCGGAGGGTCGCTATTACAAGAACTCCAGTTGTGACTGAATGTCGTATTTCTCCACGATACATTTGTCCTTTCCATCATCTCACTTTCATTTAATTGAATGTTACAAGATTAAGTGGATCTATTATAAGGTGATTTTTTTTTTAAGTGATGATTTTCCTTTTCTCCTGAGTGATTTATTAATTATAACATTAATTTTAAAAACTGCTTATGTTTAATTAAACAACTCCATGTTTCAATGATTTATAAACGCTAATTGGCACACTTTTAGCTTTTCACTCATGGTGATAGCCACATTAATCCTTAATATAAAAATGTAAAGGAGATAATAAATCTGTGATAAAAAAGATTATCAGTAACTTCACTCTGTATGACAGTAGAGGACTACCCAGTCACATCGAGTTGTACAAAGCACTCAACATCAACAGCAGTCAGTAACTGAAAGTCTCTGGAGGATAACCAGGTTAAATAGCAGTGGACAGATCCACATCAGCAAGATGCCAGTTTGATTTAAGGTAATGCAAGTGGCATCAAGTAATCATCTGTGCCACGCAAATGCTAGTGACCGTTCCATGCTGCGGTGGCCCTGTGGTGCTCAACCACTCGTGGAAGGCTTTGCATCCATGGAAATTGGGCAGAGATCACTGTGGTGCCTGGTTTGTTAGTGGTCCTTGTGCACACTGTGTGGCTAAACGGAGCAACAGTACATCGGGATCCTGGTACTAAGGGAAGGCATCCGTGTTCATGCACGGGATGAGGATGGAGGGAAGGTAATATTAAAAGAGCAAACGATGTGTTCATAAAAAGGATAGGGATTATAAGATAACAGCCATTAGCAACCGTTCATAGGGCAGAGTTTATCATAAAAAAACGGATGCATCGACAGGAAGAAAGTTACGTATGGTTTAGAAGTTAATGTTTAGTCTTTATGAAAATTAAATGTACAAAGTTTTTGTTTTAAGGCCTCCACAGACCACTCCTATCCCACTCCTAAAACTCTACTAACCACTCTACGTCAAATACAAAATTTAAATATTTAGATCAATAGATTTTACTTTCATACCTCTCCCCACCTCCTTTTTTCTTTTTATGGATAATAATAAAAGTTCTGCTAAATCCCTCCAAAAACAACTGCAGGCTGGAAGATCTGGAGACATTCTTATTCTAATTCATGTTAGTCCAGTTTTGAGACTTTAAAAGCCTTTGGAGAACTGGTTGTCTATATTCCACCTACACTAAATTTATGTAGAATTAGGGGGACGGTGAAGAATACTGCTTGGGGCAATATGGCCCTTCTGCTAGTGGTCACATTACAGAGTGGGCAGCACCTACTCCGCCACCGTTCATGGCAATGAAACAAGGGTAAAATCAGTAGCAATTCTTACTTGTTTGTAGTGAAACCATGGTGAATTCACAGCTGTTAATTTTCTTCTTTCCTCATTCTCATGAGCTCCCTTTATTCTCTTCCTTTTCTCTTTTCTAAACTGTGACTCTCCAACTTCAACTCACCGTCTTTCAATTTTCCTTTCAAATCAGGCATCATCCCCTTTCCCTTTCAGCTGCTTGTACCTTTGTTTTCTGGCTTTCAAAAATCTTCCCCTACCTGTATTTTTGTTTTTATAACATTTATGCTTCTCCCAGCTCATCTTCTCCACTTTTGAGACTTCTGTGCTTTTCCTTATTCACATTTTCAGTTCAGCATTATTAATCACTGGTGGGATTACTCAATCAACTGGTTAAAACTGAGAAGTTACTATACAGTTAGTAAATAACACTAAGTTTACTACATTCTCCTTGTGCCTACTGTCTCAGTTTATAATTTCCTCAGTTGTACTCATTCAAAGTTACTGAAGGAATAGTTTAAGCAACAGCCTGATATTATGATTGTCGGTTTGAAATTCGTGTTGTATAACTTAGTTTGAAAGCTGCTTATGTCACTTGGTGTCATTGCTCCTATCTGATTGAATTAATTGAATTCTTAGAACTTGACACTGACATCTTTCATTATCTGAGAGAAGCTTGCTCCCAGTTTCAAAGCCTTCATTGAAGAGGATTTAAATAGCACTTCTCTGCAGAGGGTGAATTTTGTCTTTCAGTAAGTTGGAAGAAAAAATAAACCAAACCCAAACTCACTTTATTAACACTTACTCATGTAAATGTCTTCATATTTTTGTTTCATGCTGTGATCTACTGCTTTCACTCTGGTGAGAAAGCAATTAAAGAAAGCAGTGGCTGAAACCTAACCTTAAAAAAGTCAGGAAGAAAAAGTTCCTGTCTGTCTAGGGCTGTGCAGGTTCTCTTAACTTGGTTAACTTCCTCACTCAGGTTCCCAGTCACATTTGTTTATCTTCCAGGCGAGCCTAAACACCTTAAGAAGTCAGAAGATATAGTAAAAGCCACTGAGCAGAAAGAAGCACTGATACAGAACTAGATTTGCTGTTTCTTAAAAGCTTCTGATGTTAGAGGCAGGACAGGTAATTTTGTCATTTCTTTCTTATAATGGGGAGAGTTTTATACCATAAAGACTCACTTAGTGCTATTATTATCCTCTTTGTTCTATTCTAGTTGTGTTTTTATTACAAAATTTTGAAATGGGAACACGGTACACCTCACTTTCTGTGTCCCCTTAGAAGCCATTCAATATAAAGAAGGGAAAAACAATACTTTCGCATCCCTGAATCCTTAATGTCAGACTAAATGATCATGCAATCAAACATCCTCAATTTGTGTATATTAAATACTGGAAGTAGTAGTATTAAAAATCTATTGTTTATGAATTCTCATTTGACTTCCTTTGCAGGAGAAAAGAAGAACTCTAGCTGTTCCTACCCCGTGCTCTCAGAGGCTGTTATCTGTTCTTGGATCATCCTGTTTCTGCGGAAAATGATTGGACAAAATGATCAAAAGTCTAAAATGTAAAACCCTGAGCTGGTAACTCAAAGCACTTAACAACTTGCAAGATTTCAATTGTATTTGTTGTTGCTATTTTCTCTTCTATTCTGCTTTCTTAAACTAGCCAAAATAATTTTTTCAGCCAAAGTTGGACCTCGCTTTATTGCATCACTGACACCAGACATTTCCAGTTAACCATGAGACGTGTGAAAACATGACATTTGTCATCTGCGCAGGATTACTGTTACATGTCACTGCTACTGGCGCCCGATGGAAATGGGAAGTCAGAATGAAATGTTGTTATAGATACTTGTTCATGCAACAATGCTGCATGCAACATAGAACTCCTACTTGTTAGCTTCCTTAAGATATCTGGAAATAAAAATATGTAGACTGTACATGGAAGTTGTAGAGTTACACTGACCAACCTGCACGGATGATGATTCTTCCCCGCTGCGGTGGCTGCCATATGGAGAGAACTGGTGTTTAACAAATCAGTATTCAAAATACCTCTTTAAAATTAATTAAATTGCATCCAGTATTAAAGTTTAAAACATTCTCAGTCCTATAGTATTTTGGAAGACATCAGCAATGGTGTCAGCCCTACCGTGAAGGTGGTGCTTATTGTTTTGTAGGGCAGAAGAGACAGCGACAGGAATACATGAAAATTGCTTCACTTCAGCAAAATATTGTGTTGCCTCTCAGAACTGGAAGGTGACACTGAGGCCTTATATCACAGTTTGTCTCAAATGCAAAGGTGAAAATGTGGATCCTGCAAAATGCGTGCTAGCGTTTGTTTCATTGATAGAAAACACCAGACCTTTTTTCTCTGAGAGGCAGCAAAAATGGAGCATGCAGGCGGTTACCTCTGCAAGAAGCCTCAGAATGAGCCCTCCAGCCCAAAGTGTGCCCAGAAACAGACTCCATTTTCATCTCTGCTTCCCTCGAGCTGCACCTGACCCTTCCTGGCTTGCCCAGGCGTCCCACGCAGCTGCAGCCAACCTCATTTCCCTCTGCTGGAACCTGCCAGGAAACTTCCATGCTCCCCTTTGCGCTGTAGGCGCTCGGGCGGCTCGGGTCGCTGCACCCCCAGTTCTCCTTTTCAGACCCTGTGGTTATTACCTCACTGACCAAAAAGTCTTTATAATCAGCCATGGTCCGCTCTGAACATGACTGGTGGGGACGGTGGCACTCCCCTCTATGCAGAGGCCAACAGATGATTGAGACCTGTGTGCTATTCATCTGCTGCTTCAGGGATCTAACCAGAGCTCAACAGGCTTCGGGCTTAACCTCAACAAGGGCACATTTTGTCCCGATTAAAGAAGGAATCGTAAAACAATCACCCTAGACCAAGGGACCCTTACATGTCCATACCTGTTGACTGTCTCTTTGCTGACAGTGGAGCAATCCAAATTGAGCTGGGAACAATGTGTGCTCCGAGCCCTGGGATAAGGGCATGCCAAAAGGTGGAATTCCTGTCATTGAATATGTAAGCCATATATAGGCTATGCATAAGTAGTGTGCATAGTTTTAACTTAAGAAATGTTTGTGCATATAGGATGTAAAAAGTGCAGTTAAATTGTTTTGTGTATCTGGTCCAGGGCTTGTATTTAGCATGGACAAATTTCTGTACAGTGCAGTTAACGAATGAAATGTTAACAAATGAAATTGTATCATACATGTTATAACGCAATTGATATTTTTTGCTAAGAGTTAAGAATTTATATATTCTCTGCTAGTGTTTGAGCAAATCATTAATAGCCTGGACCACTCCGTGCACCTTTGCATCCATTTGGGGAATGTTGGATTCTTTTTTTTTTCCTTTATAATAAAACATAAACCATCTTATGACTTCTTATTGTCATTATGACAAGAGAAGAAACATAATGATGATATCAGACTTTTTTTTTAATTGTAAATTGCCATATGCTGTGGCAATTGAAATTATTCTTGTTTAAGATCTGAGAACTTGGGACCTTATTTCAGATACATTGAGCATCTGCAGTTCCCACCAAAGTTGGAAAGAACAAAAGATGACTGATATCTTTAAAGACTAGACCAGTTAGGTATTTGTTTGTTACAGAGTGTTCTTCAACATTGTAATTTATGATTCACTGAGAAGGAAAGTCTGGAGCAATCAGAATTTAATGTTTTTATTGTATTTTCAGTTTCAGACTTTTACCATAGCTGAACTTGACTTTTTTTTTTTTTTCTGTGTCTCTATCCCATCATGATTTATATACTCTGCAAGAATTTTTCTCCTGAAATACAAGCAGAAATTATAATACATTCTGCAGAGTACTCGGAGCATCCTGTGGGGCTCTCAGTGTCCCATTATCATAACTGGCACCAAGATCTCCCACTGCAGAAACTATCTGAGCTCCTGATCTCACAGGAGGCACTCATTGCCTGCAGAACTCATTCATTAATATATAAATGTGATTTGTGTATAAATAATCCTATTTGCTCATTTGTATTCAGTTTTAATCACTGTGGTAGATGTTACTGAAATACAAGAAGGAGAGTCCTTAGTTTTTCTTTAATGCCAGCTGATTCTCTTTCTTTCTTCCTTTATTCTTAGCAAGATTTTACCTGGACATGACGCAAAGCTTAGCGTGTTGTTTGGAAGAGGAGAAAGTTTCTTTGGTGGAAAAGACTGATAGAGCCAACATATGTTAGTTAAGGCTTTGACTTTGGGTGAAATTCGCATTCAGATGGCAGAAAGTCTTCTTGAGAGGGCCTCTCTGTGAACAATAGTTTATCTCTGAAACCTGTAAGGCTGCGCTACCAAAACACTGCATGGGGCCATAAGAAATGGTGTTTGTATATGCATCTCTCCCACAGCATTATGGGCATGTACCCCTGCATTGAGCACACTGAGGAGCTGTAGCTATAGATTAGCCCTCAAGGGTTTTATTTTGTATTTTTATCTTGAGATATCTGACAGATATATTATGTAATATTGTTATGGGTTATGATCTAGCCAGTATTTTTTTATTTAATTTTCAACAAGGCAATCTACAACTGTGTGTTTTTATTCTGCTGTATTTGTCCGTATTTCCTATAATGATATTCCCAAATAAATTTGATTTGAGGGCAAGAATCATGAAGCTCCTGAGTGTTAGTTACAATTTTGCTTTCTTGAAGCATGTTTACTCATTTGCGTATGTCTGTCTTTGAAAAGTGATGGAGCATAAATGGTTGTTTCCAACCCTTTCAGCTGCTTGTGATCCCACACTTTTTCCATAACTGTGCCAGTTTACCGTGCAAGCTCACTCACGTCCTCGTAGCACTCTTGAAAACTAATTTTTTAAGCGAGTCTTGCCTTCTTAGCCTTTACTGCTAAAATAGCCCTCACATAAAGAAAACCATGACCAATAGAACGTTTTTTTTATCCCCCAAAATTCTTGCCCTGGATTGGTATTGATGGAATCACTGTGACTGTTCATGTTAGCAACAATTCTTCAGAAAGGATATGACTTTCAGAGGCACCTCCATGGCATGCTGTTAATTTAATCATCCAAGTTCAGTGGACCAGGGATTAAACAGAGACCCTTCCTACTCAGATTGGAAAGGAATGGAAAGAATCCCATTGACCTAGAAGTGTATCAAATCCTAGCAAGGTACATAATGGAAATAAATCAAGACAACTGCTTTATATCATTCTTTGCAGTTCCTTTTTCCCAGATGCTGTCCCAGCTACATGCACAAAGGACCTTCTTCAGTTGTATAGATGCCAGAAGTCAAACAAGCCACTATGGTGACCAAAATAACTTCAAATTAACAAATAAATCAAGATCCCCAGTGGTAAGTGTCTAAAACGTATATTTTTAACAGACTATACAGTTATTACAGGAGAAGGAAGAAAATGTAAGTACAACTAACGTTCTTCAACAGCAATTTAGAGATTTAAATTTACAGTAGTTTAGCAGACAAAGGTTTGTCTGAGAGGGGAGTGCATCCACTTTTAAATAATTCTTTGAAAAATAACTTCCTTGAAAACCAGTATGGAAGAATGACTGGAAATGGCATTTAATACTATGAGGAAAAGAACATTCTGAAACACTAAAACTGAATACTGTGTTCAGTTTTGGGCCCCTCACTACAAGAAGGACATTGAGGTGCTGGAGCGTGTCCAGAGAAGAGCAACAAAGCTGATGAAGGGCCTGGAGAAAAAGTCTTACGAGGAGCAGCTGAGGGAGCTGGGGTTGTTTAGTCTGGAGAAAAGGAGGCTGAGGGGAGACCTTATTGCCCTCTACAACTACCTGAAGGGAGGTTGTAGTGAGATGGGGGTTGGTCTCTTCTCCCTGGTAACTAGTGATAGGACAAGAGGAAATGGTCTCAAGTTGCGCCAGGGGAGGTTCAGACTCGACATTAGAAAGAACTTCTTCACTGTTAGAGGTGTTAAGCATTGGAACGGGCTCCCCAGGGAGGTGGTGGAGTCACCATCCCTGGAGGTGTTCAAAAAACGTTAGATGTGGCGCTTCAAGACATGGTTTAGTGGGCATGGTGGTATCAGGTATACGGTTGGACTTGATG